AAAGAGGAGCACGGATGCACTCATCATCCCCACCTCCCTTCCTCTCCCCCCCCCTCTGGCCCCCTCCCGCTCCATCCGCCGGCATGCATATCCTTTCTCCGGCTGACCACCCTCCTCCCAGCCTTCCCGGGTAAGAGGGGGAAGGGGAAAAGAAAAAAAAGAAACCGGCCAGCACTCACCTAAATCCGGCATGGAACATGTACATTCTGGGCACCCCCGAGTTGGCGTACTTGGGAGTGGTGAAGATATTGTCTTTTTTCAGGGACACGTAGCTGATGAAGGACAAGATCAGCAGAGCCACGCTGAGCATCACCAGACCCAGGACGCTAACCACCCGGACCATCTTGCAGTTTCTCATGCCTGTGGGGGTGGGGTGGGGAGGAGGGGGGAGGAAGAACGAGATGTGAGCTACATTGGAGTTAACACACACCCAGAAAGCAGGGATGTGGAGCCGCCCGGGCGTTTGCGTGTGCGCTTGTGTGTGGCAGTCTGGCTAAGGAGGGGGGGGGAGGGGGGGAAATCAAAGGATTAATTCCAAGCACAACAACAACAGCAGCAACCACAAAAAAAAAGGCAGGAGCGAAGAGCTGGAACAATGAAGAATTAAAAAAGAGTGATATAACAACAATAAAATGGAGGGTTTGAGAGGCAAGGTATCGAAATGGCAGCTGGTGGGTGTGTTAAAAAAATAAAAGAAAGGTGGATCCTGCCGGAAATTATTGACGGCTGCCAGGCTCTCTCTTCAAAAACACACCCGGGAGGGGTGGGGGGATCACAAGCGTAGGCCAGGTCCTGGAATATTCTGGAGAGGGACTCTGATGACCAGTTTGGGACCTGGGCCAGGTGTGGTGCCCAGATGAGACTCCATGAATAGGAACCGCGACAGACATAAACAGACCCACAAGAGAAACGCCCCCTCCCAACAACGCTCACACAGGGCACGAGCTGGCATTTTGGATACGACCAAAAACCCCTCCAACCAACCCCCCCCCCCCAACCTCAATCCGAGACATTTCTGGAGAACGTCTTCCAACTTTGTGCTGAAATGCCTGTGCCACTGCACGTAATATAGGTAATGGATAATGTCAAAGCACGAAGGCGTGCCATATGGCCTTGCTGTGGTGCCTCCGTAAGCTTTAACCTTTAAAATGTTCATATTTTTAATAACTACAATTCTCTAGATTTCTGCCAAGGAAGATGTAGACTGTACTTAAAGAGAAATTATGCCGGCACTGCAGCTTGTGTGGGAGCCCTGATTATAAGTGTTTGGCAGTGGTGCAACAGATAACTCTGTGTATGCTCAGAAGTAGTCTTGTTGAGTATTACTAATTTGAGTTCCATCCCACTGTTTAGCCTGCAAACTGGCTTACCTTTAGACAAAAGGATACATCAACTTCTTTCTTCTCCCTGAAATCCCTGATATTCTAGTCCTCACTGCTTGGCCCTACATGCTATCATATTGGGGGCACTTCGTCTTTGTTTCTTTTAGCAAAGGAAGTGGCCAAAGATGACAGTTCAGGCTCAATACATAACAGATGGAATGGGTGGCATTTCTACATCCCGTTAGTGATTCACGTGTGGGATTCGCCTTCACAAGATGTAGAGATACCCTCTATGCCTTATGGCTTTTAAAAAGGGGATCGGACACGTTCGTGGAGGAAACGTCCATCAATGGTTACGACCACTAGTTTATTTATTTCCTTCATTTGTACCCCGCTTTTCTCTCCGATGGAGACCCAAAGTAGCTTGTAATGTTCTCCCCTTCTGCATTTTGCCCTCACAATAATACTGTGAGGCGGATTAGGCCGAGAGCGTGTGACTGGCCCAAGGTCACCTGGCAAGCCTCCGTGGCATAGTGGGGGATTCAGGCCTGGGTCTCACAGAGCCTCGTCTGCTCCTCTAGCCACTACACCACTTTCAGAGGGAATAAACATCTTGACATCTGTGCCTGGGGGCAACACCATAAGGACACCTTGGTCTTCATGCGTTGTTTGTAGGACTTGGGGGGGGGGGATCTGGTTGGCCACTGTGTGAAACAGAATGCTGGGCTGTGGCTCAGTGGTAGAGCCTCTCTCTTTTTGCATACAGAAGGTCCCAGGTTCAATCCCTGACATCTCCTGACAAAAAGACCAGGTAGGGGGCGGTAATCCCTCTAAGCTGAATCAGTGTGAACTAGCTCACAGTTTCTTAGCCTCCGGCTCACACAGTTTTGTCTTTGCTCAGGAAGGATGGCTCCAGAGCAAACTAACAGATGCAGGCGCCAAATCTCTCACTCACAACTTTAAGGCCAGCAGCTCACAAAGTAGAATTTTTGCTCACGAGACTCCACAGCTTAGAGGGACCATTGGTAGGGGGTGATGTGAAAGGCCTCTGCCTGAGACCTTGGGCAGCGGCTGCCAGACTGGGCAGACAATACGGACCTTGATGGACCAAGGGTCGGATTCAGCATAAGGCAGCTTTAAGTGTTCATGTGTTCAGATGGATACTTGGTCAGATCAATGGTCTACATAGGTCAGTGCTGGCTACTCTGACTTGAAGTGGTTCTTTAGGGTGACATCACTCACTGCCTCTTCCTTTTAACTAGAGATGCCAGGGACTGAAACGGGGACCTTTCCTTTCATCTGGAGATGCTGGGGATTGAACCTGGGACCTTCTGTATGTCAAAGCAGATGCTGGACCACTGAGCCAAGGCCCCTCCCCTCCCAATCTGAGAATATAGTTATTAAAACTGCGAACATTTTCAAGGTTGTATCTTACGGAAGAACTGACATGCTGACACGCCAGAGGACTGCTGGAGGCAGTTGACAATTACAAATAATATCAAAAAACCATTTAAGAAGTCTTAAACTATCAGTATAAAACAAAACAAGCCATGCAATCTTTCTCAGACTGTACGTAGACCATAAAACAGCATTTTTTAAAAAGGGATTTTAAACCACTGAAAAGCCTGGGTAAAAACAAATGTCCTGACATGGCACCTAAAAGACAGTATGGCCCGTGACTGGCAAGCTTTAAGGGGGGCAGCATTCAAAGACAAGGGGCCACCACTGAAAAGGCCTCATATTTAGCAGGCACCCATATTACCTCTGAAGGTGGGGGCACAGAGAACAGGGCTTAGAATCATCGAGTTGGAAGAGACCTCCAGGGTCATCTAGTCCACCCCCCGGACAATCCAGGAAATTCACAAATACCTTTCCCCACCCCAGTGAACCCTGTTTCATGCCCAGAAGATGACAACAAGCCTCCAGGATACCCAGCCAAACTGGCCTGGAGAAAAATTGCTTCCTGACACCAAAGTGGCAATCGGCATTTCCTTGGACCTGTAAGAAAGGGCAACAAGAACTAAACTTGGGAGGTGGATCTTAACTGGTAAACTGGACAGTGCAGGAGGAGATGGTCCTTGAGATGCCCAGTTAAGTCTTTTGATAAGAGTGTCTTTGACAAGAGTTTATAGGTAGTTTCTGGGCCCAATTCAAAGTGCTGCTTAGCATCATGAAAGCTGTAAATGGGCTGGGCCCCAAGCACCTATTCCTTCATGGATTCCCCCCCCCCAATCAAGTCCTCCAAGACTGGCTGGAGAAGTTTCACTCCTTAGACTCGAAAACGCTTGATATTGGTTTAGACTTTTCATAATGCAATCCTAAACAGAGTTACCCCTCTCTAAGCCCACTAAATTCAATGGATTTAGAAGGATGTGAAAGTTGGACTAGGAAGGAAGCTGACAGGAAGAAAATACATTTTAAGTGTGCTGTTGGAGGAAAGTTTTACGGACACCACAGACCACCAAAAAGACAAATAAATGGGTTAGAACCCACTGGTTTGTCTTTTTGGCGGTCTGTGGTGTCCATAAAACTCTCCTCCAATACCTCATTTAAAATGTATTTTCTTCCGTCTAAACAAGGCTAGATTCTCCCTAGGAGCTAAAATGACCCAACTGAGGCTTCATACACTTCAGTCACATAATGGGAAGACAAGAATCGCTAGAAAAGTCCCAGGAAAAGTGGAAGGCAGCAGGAAAAGAGGAAGACCCGACATGAGACGGATGGACTCAGTCAAGGAACCCACAGTTTGCAAGATCTGAGCAAGGTTGTTAATGGTAGGACGTTTTGGAGGTCATGACTTCTTAGGATCGCCATAGGTTGAAAGTGAATTGATGGCATATAACATACCCAGCTCTGGTTTGGATTACGCTAAGAGATGCCCTGAAAACTTTTTGTAGTAGAAAGCAGGAGAAACTCATTTCTTAAACAGAGAAGTTTGGAGACACGGAGCAGGGCCTGTTTCTTGTGCCACTTACATTATGACATTCCTGGGCTTAGGCGCTCCAACAAGCACCTCTTTATGTTGATTGTGCAAAAATGCAAAGTTTCCTGTGTTTAGGAACCTTCCTTCTCTGCGGATGTTGATTTGTTGCTGTTACATAAACTGCAGTGCAGAAATAGTCGGCTGTATTCTTTCTGGCACCAAATCAGATGTAGTGGTTAAGAGTGTCGGACGAGGATTGGGGAGACCCAGGTTCGAATCGCTACTCTGCCATGGACGGTTGCTAGGTGACCTTGGGCCAGTCACACAAACACAGCCTAAACTACCTCGCAGGGTTGTTGTGAATCAGTGTTCCCTCTAAGCTGAGTTAGTGTGAGCTAGCTCACAGTTTTTTAGCCTCCGGCTCACACATTTTTGTCTTCGCTAAGGAAAGATGGCTCCAGAGCAAACTAATTCATGCAGCAGCCAAATCACTCTCTCACAACTTTAATGCCAATAGCTCAAAAAGTAGAATTTTTGCTCACGAGACTCCACAGCTTACAGGGAACACTGGTTGTGATGACTGCAGAAGAAGAGATTCAGGAAAGTCGCTTTGGGTTCCCATTGTACAGAAAAGCAGGGCATACACGAAGTAAGTAAATAAACAAACAAACAGTATGATAAAGGTTCAGAGAATTTTGTGTGTGTGTGGGTTTGAGTCTGTGTGAGTGTCTGCCTGCATGCCTGGAAGTCACAGTGACTTCGGTTCAGAGGATTATTTTAACAAAAACGATAGTTTCATCATCCAAGTCATTCAACTTGTATAGGAGGACGCAGTATATGTGGCATCCTGGCTGAAACAATTTTCTCTCATTTATTCATTGAATTCATTTATACCCCACTTTTTCTTCCCAGCGGGGACCCAAATCAGCTTACCCCCTCCTCCCCTCCTTCATTTTATCCTCAAAACAACCCTGCGAAGGAGGTTAAGCTGAAAATGGGTGACTGGCCCAAGATCACCCAACAACTTTCCACAGCAGAGTGGGGATTTGAACCTGCTTCTCTTAAATTTTAGTCCAGCGCTTTAACCACTACACCACGCTACACGTGCAAATC